GCTGCACTCCCTCGACTTCTCGACAGCCTTCTTGCAGGGTATCCTTCACGAGGCTATCTGGTTGCGCCATCAACGTGGCTTCACTGGGTCGTTTCCTGAGGGTACCGAGTGGAGTCTTCGGCGACCAGTCTACGGCCTCCGACAGGCACCCCTCGAGTGGCACGACACACTGAGGACTACACTTGCGGCTCTTGGCTTCACTCCCTCGGCTGCTGACCCTTCGCAGTTTTTGCGCACAAACACTTCTCTGCCGCAGTTCTACGTTCTTGTGTACATTGACGACTTGGTTTTTGCTACCGCAAACACTGAGGCTCTGGCCTTGGTGAAGGCGGAGCTGCAGGAGAGACACACTTGTACTGACCTGGGTGAGCTGCGGAGCTACCTTGGCTTGCAGATCACCCGAGACAGACCACGCCGCACCATCACCCTCACTCAGTCACACATGGTGCAGCAGGTCCTTCAGCGCTTCGACTTCACGTAGTCCTTGCCACAGCCCACTCCTCTGTCTACCGGCCACTCGCTCTCAGCTCCACCTTCGGACGAGTCCGTAGAGCCGAGTGGTTCGTACCCAGAGCTTGTGGGTTGCCTCATGTACCTGATGACGCGCACACGAACTGACCTCGCGTACCCTCTCAGCCTCCTGGCTCGCTACGAGGCTCCTGGTAGACATCGAAAGATGCACTGGGATGCTGCGAAGAGGGTATTGCGTTACTTGTGCAGCACATCGGGCATGGGGCTCGTGCTTGGAGGACGGGGTTCAGTTGTTCTCACCGGTCACTCAGACGCTTCTTGGGCTGATGACCAGACGACTCACCGGTCGACACAGGGGTACAGTTTCAGCCTCGGCACTGGTTCTGTCTCGTGGAGGTCCACTCGCTCTTCTTCTTGACTTAGTTCCAGGTGTGACGCCACGATCTACGCTGGGGCTATGGCTGCACAGGAGCTCCGGTGGCTGAACTACCTGCTGACTGACTTGGGTGAGCGTCCTCGTTCTCCTCCAGTTCTGTACGTCGACAACAAGACCATGATTGCCTTGTGTCAGGACCAGAGACTGGAGCACAGAACGAAGCACATTGCTCTCCGTTACTTCCTCACGCGAGAGCTGCAGCAGCGTGGTCAGCTTCGTCTTGCTTACGTGGCCACTCGGGCCAACACTGCTGATGTTTTCACAAAGGCCCTCTGATCTAGTGATCATCTGCGTTTCTGCACTGCTCTTGGGCTTCTGCCCACTCTGCCTCATTTGCTTGTCTCTTGATCTTGCTCTTGTTGTACACTGATATATATGAGTATACCTGCATGCTTACACTTATTAGGTTGTGATCAGTGTACTGCTCTTGTTCTTAGGAACTCTGCATGTGTATTGGCCTTGTGGTCACTTGCTTGTACTCAGAATGCGTGGTGACCTTGAGATCCACCCTGAACTTTGTTTTGCTTTGCTTCTTCTCTTGACTGGTCTTGTGACCCCTTGTTGTCCCCCACTTTGCCTATGGGGGTGTGTCAAAACATGTTGATATCATGTTAGTGATGTTCGGCTGATATCATGTTAGTGATGTTCGGCTGTAGTGGGTTACTCCTTATGAGGTACAAACCTTTGTTAGGGTTGCTACTTGTACCACTCATCCTGCTTTAGTCAATCATTCCTTTTTCCATATTCTGATATAGATCGTGCCACATAGAAATCAAGATCCGTTGCTGAGAGCGGGGGGGAGGGGGCAGGTTGCGTTGCTTGTACGGTAATGAGCGCTATTGAATTGAGGTCAAGCATTTGACCTAGTTATTGAAGAGGGTCTAGCATTGGCACACTAGTGTTCCAACGCTAGCGACTAAACACATCATTTAAATTTCCATGACTCGTGAGTTTCCATGTCGAAGGTTTGGGCAAAGTATGTGTATGCCTAGTTGAGTCAAGTGTGTACGGTATTTCTAGGATCCAAAAGTTCTTTCAAGTAGCTCGTATGGGTAGGCATTTTTATTCCTCCCTCAATTTCACATTTTCGACCTGGGCGGGTCCGTTTGGGTAAACCCGGCCTTAAACCTTACCCGATTATTGTAATCTGGGCGTGTCAGGTCGGATTTTGACCCACTTTTGACTCGACCTAAAATTGTATACTTTCTGCTTAATCGGGTTGCCAAGTAATTTGCTTGCTCTTCACTAGGATTCTAAGTAAACGAGTTGTGTTGAAACTTCGTTTCGCTATCATCGGGTTGAGTTGAGCTTAATGTCGTGAGTTCTGAAATTGTATGGGGGGTTGAGTCTTGTAGATTTGGTGCGGTGACGAGTGGTAAGTGGCGGCGAATTGGTTGAGATTTATCTATTCCAACAAACTTGATGGGGAGGAACCTGTGCAGCACGGGTGTCGTTCTTGCATAATGCGGGCATGTTGTCGTGCGTGTAGCCTGTGCAGCACGTCTGGCTTGCATATTTTGGACATGCTGTGGCGGTGTAGGTGGCGTGGCTTTCTTGCATATTGCGGGCATGCTGTGGCGCTTATAGCATGTGCAGCATGGCTGGCGTTCTTGCATATTGTGGCTTGATATGGTGCTTGTAGCCTCAACTTGTTTGTCAATAACTTTGCTGGTTTTTGGTAAAGTGGTAAGGTACAAAACAAAAATCGGCAATAAGTTGTCAAAGGTTCCATAGTATGTTAATGGATACGTGTGGTATTGTTTCTCAGTAATTAATTTTCAATTGGCCTTTGTTATAAAGATCACTTTCTCATACACATATCTGCTCATTTCTCCCAGCCCTTTTTGAACTGGTGTGTTAATTCTCACAACCAGGTTCATGCGGGTTCCGGTTCGATTGACGAAACATTGCGCCCACGTCGTTGTAACACTCGCACTTCAGTTTTGGTATGGATGTTCCTCAACCGAGAATTGGTTACCTGCCTGCGACACAGGCACAGAACATTATGCGTCGTCCAAACACACCTGCGACCATCGCAACCCATAGAGTGTAACTGTGCGACTCTCGCTATCTAATTGTCGTCTGCCTGCACACATGTATTGATGAGAGGGCGGCGGAGGCCGGGCGCGGGCGGCGGGGGAGGAGGGGGGGGGGGCGCGGGCGGCGAGGGGCAGGCGCGGGCGGCGGGGGGGCGGGCGCGGGCGCCGGGGGGCGGGGGGGCGGGCGCGGGCGCGGGCGCCGGGGGGCGGGGGGGCGGGCGGGGGCGGGCGCGGGCGCCGGGGGGCGGGGGGGCGGGCGCGGGCGCCGGGGGGACGGGAGCGGGCGCGGGCGCCGGGGGGACGGGGGCGGGCGTGGGAGCGGAAAAGCGATATTTTTCTCTTTTCTTGGACTGTTGCATATGCTCACCGATATGTGTCCGCGTTGACAGATGGGGAATCCGACCTCGTCCGACTCGGGTATGACCTAACACCCTGCCTGAGTCCGGCTATCCCACCACGGATCACAGCCGTTCAGTCCCTAATTCAAGGGGATCCCTCACTTGGGGGAATAGGCTTCACCGTCTATCTGGACCAGCACCGGTCAGCTATTGTTAGGTGCACATTGGGAACGATGGCAGAATCATTTATATTATCGACGGGGAGATATAGAGGAGCAGCGAAAAGCGAACCATTTAGAATGGCTCTGCTCTTATACTACGGGACCCGACTATTCTAATAGACGGTTATTCCACTCCCACATGCGACTTGGGCAACCGCATGTAACCTCCGTGCATCCTCGCTGCAATCGGTTGTAATCGGTTTGGCAACAGTTTCCAACCTCCTACCGTTTGGACTTCCTCGATTGATCTTGCATGCATCCCGACCGGCTGATTCATACCCATATCAGTCCAAGCAGCTTTAGCAACCGCAAGAAACCTTCATTGACTCGACACCGGGAATATGATTCATCGCGGCAGGCCAATTGCCGTTACAATTGTAGCAAAACTGGAAAAGCGATATTTTCTCTTTTCTTGGTCTGTTGCGTATGCCCACCGATAGGTGTCCGCATTAACAGATGGGGAATCTGACCTCGTCCGACCCGGGTATGACCTAACACCCTGCCTGGGTCCGCCTGTCCCACCACGTATCTTAGCCGTTCAGTCCCTAACTCGAGGGGATCCTTCATTGGGGGAATAGGCTTCACCGCCTATCTGGACCAGCACCGGTCCGCTATTGTTAGGTGCACACTGGGAACGATGGCAAAATCCTTTATATTATCGACGAGGAGATACAGAGTAGCAGCGGAAAGCGAACCATTGAAAGATATCATGCTCCCAGAATGTCTCTACTCTTATACTACGGGACCCGACTATTCTAATAGACGGTTATTCCACTCCCACATGCGGCTTGAGCAACCGCATGTAACCTCAGTGCATCCTCGCTGCAGTCGGTTGTATTCAGTTTGGCAATCATTTCCAACCTCCTGCCGTTTGGACTTCCTCAGTTGATCTTGCATGCATCCGGACCGGCTGATTCATGCCCATATCGGCCCAAGCGGCTTTAGCAACCGCAAGAAACCTTCGTTGACTTGAGACTGGGAATATGATTCGTCGCGGCACGCCAACTGCCGTTACAGTTGCATAGTGCGGGCATGCTGTGGCGCTTGTAGCCTGTGAAGCATGGCTGACGTTCTTGCATATTGTGGCATGATGTGGTGCTTGTAGCCTCAACTTGTTTGTCAATAACTTTGCTGGTTTTGGGTACAAAAAAATAGGTAATAAGTTGTCAAAGGTTCCATGGCATGTTAATAGATACGCGCGGTATTGTTTCTCGGTCATTATTTTTTATTTGGCCTTTGTTATAAAGTATCACTTTCTCATACCCACATCTGCTCATTTCCCCCACCCTTTTTTGAACTGGCGTGTTAATTCTCACAACCAGGTTCATACGGGTTCGGTTCGATTGATGAAACATTGCGCCAACGTCGTTGCAACACTCGCACTTGAGTTTTGGTATGGATGTTCCTCAACCGAGACACAGGCACAGAAAAGTATGCGTCGTCTAAACACACCTGCGACCGTCGCAACCCATAGAGTGTAACTGTGCAACTCTCGCTATCTAATTGTCGTCTGCCTGCACACATGTATTGATGAGAGGGCGGCGGAGGGCGGGCGCGAGCGGCGCGAGGTGGGGGGGGGGCACGACCGGCTGGGGGCGGGCGCGGGCGGTGGGGGGCGGGCGCGGGCGCCAGGGGGGCGGGGGCGGGCGCCGGGGGGCGGGGGCGGGCGCGGGCGCGGGTGCAGGGGGGCGGGCGCGGGCGTCGGTGGGCGGGGCGGGCGGACATTATGCCATGCATACACGCTGCGTTATGCTTGCAACATTGGCGGTTTCCCAGCCGAAATTGCATTAGGTGTTAAGCAAGAGTGTGATCGCGCGAGCAAGGGTGAGTGCGCCAGTGGGCGTCAGTGGGCAGCTGGGGCTGAGTGTCGTTTCCCGCTCTCGCGGTGAGGGTGCTGGCCTCTGAAGTGCTGGCGCCTTGCATGCTTGCCTATGCAGCTGGCAAATAAGGAGATGGTGCCAAGCATTGGGCGCTGGCGCCTAGGGTTCTGAGCGTCCTGGAGCTCGGGCACAAGCCTCGTGAATGGGAAATGCAATGCAGGAATAAGGTAACGGGAAATGCAGGTGTGTGGTGGACGTGAATAAGGAGATGGTGCCAAGCATTTGGCGCTGGCGCCTAGGGTTCTGAGCGTCATGGTGCTCGCGCACAAGCCTCGTGAATGGGAAATGCAATGCAGGAATAAGCTAACGGGAAATGCAGGTGTGTGGTGGACGTGAATTGCATGCAACGAAAAAATTGCAAATATCGCAGGAGATTGAATTAGCGGTTCGATTGACGAAACATTGCGCCCACGTCGTTGTAACACGCGCACATGAGTTTTGGTATGGATGTTCCTCAACCGAGAATTGGTTACCTACCTGAGGCACAAACACACATGCGACGGGTGGCGGGGGGCGGGGGCGGGCACGGCCGGCGGGGGCGGGCGCGGGCGGCGGGGGCGGGCGCGGGCGGCGGGGGGCGGGGGCAGGCGCGGGCGGCGGGGGCGGGCGCGGGCGGCGGGGGGCGCGGGCGGGCGCGGGCGGCGGGGGGCGGGGCGGGCGCGAGCGCCGGGGGGCGGGGGCGGGCGCGGGCGCCGGACGGCGGACATTATGCCATGCACACAGCTGCGTTTTGCTTTCAACATTGGCGGTTTCCCAGCCGGAATTGCATTAGGTGTTGAGCGAGAGTGTGATTGCGCGAGCGAGGGTGAGTGCGCGAGTGGGCGTCAATGGGCAGCTGGGGCTGAGTGCCGTTTCCCGCTCTCGCGGTAAGGGTGCTGGCGCCTTGCATGCTCGCCTAGGCAGCTGGCAAATAAGGAGATGGTGCCAAGCATTGGACGCGCCTTGGGTTCTGAGCGTCGTGGTGCTCGAGCACAAGCATGATGGAAAATGCGGTCATTTTTGAATGGGAATGCTGGACAGGGAATGGGAAATGCAAAACATGATGGGAAATGCAATATATGAATAAGCTAACGGGAAATGCGGGTGTGTGGTGGATGTGAATTGCATGCAAGGGGAGGGTGTAAGGGATGAAGCGGGGGTGACAGGAGGGGTAAGACGCGGTAAAATTGCATATATCGTAGGATCGTGAGTATTTTGTAAGAATAAGGAAACAGGAATGTGTTAATTGAGAATGATGGGGATACAAGTAGTAAACCCTAAAAAGGGTTGTTCCCTCTGCAGTGTACCCCGGTATAGACTGCAGCACTATAAGTGTATAATTTGAGACACCCCCATAGGCTAAGTGGGGGACAACAAGCGGTCACAAGACCAGTCCAGCAAGAGAACAAAGCAAAGCAAAGCAAAGCAAAGCTCAAGGTGGATCTCAAGATCACCACGCATTCTGAGCACAAACAAGCGGCCACGAGGCCAGTTCACATACCGAGTTTATAAAAGCAATTGCAGTACACTGATCACAACCTAGCAAGAGCAAACATGCAGGTATAATCATATATATCAGAGTACAGCTAGTGCAAGGCAAGATCAAGAGACAAGCAAGTGAGGCATAGTGGACACAAGCCCAAGAGCAGTGCAAAAACGCTGATGATCACTAGACCAGAGGGCCTTTGTGAAAACATCAGCAGTGTTGGCCCGAGTGGCCACGTAAGCAAGACGAAGCTGACGACGCTGCTGCAGCTCTCGCGTGAGGAAGTAACGGAGAGCAATGTGCTTCGTTCTGTGCTCCAGTCTCTGGTCCTGACACAAGGCAATCATGGCCTTGTTGTCGACGTACAAAACTGGAGGAGAACGAGGACGCTCACCCAAGTTGGTCAGCAGGTAGGTCTGCCAGCGGAGCTCCTGTGCAGCCATAGCCCCAGCGTAGATCTCGGCCTCACAGCTGGAACTAAATACAGAAGACGAGCGAGTGGACCTCCACGAGACAGAACCAGTGCCAAGGCTGAAGCTGTACCCCTGTGTCAATCGTTGAGTCGTCTGGTCGTCAGCCCAAGAAGCGTCTGAGTAATCGGTGAGAATAACTGAACCCGGTCCTCCAAGCACAAGCCCCATGCCTGATGTACTACACATGTAACGCAATACCCTCTTCGCAGCTTCCCAGTGCACCTTTCGGTGTCTACCGGGAGCCACGTAGCGAGCCAAGAGTCTGAGAGGGTACGCGAGGTCAGGTCGTGTGTACGTCATCATGTACATGAGGCAACCCACAAGTTCTGGGTACGGACCACACAGCTCTACAGACTCGTCCGAAGGTGGAGCTGAGAGCGAGTGGCCGGTAGACAGAGGAGTGGGCTGTGGCGAGGACCACGAGAAGTCGAAGCGCTGAAGGACCTGCTGCCTCATGTGTGACTGAGTGAGGGTGATGGTGCAGCGTGCTCTGTCCCGGGTGATCTGCAAGCCAAGATAGCTCCGCATCTCACCCAGGTCAGTGCAGGTGTGCCAAGAAACAACGAATTGTCAGCAGTCGAAGGAGCGAAGCCAAGAGCTACAAGTGTAGTCGTGCCACTCGCGGGCGCTTGTCGCAGGCCGTAGACTGGTCGCCGAAGACTTCACTAGGTACCCTCAGGAAACGACCCAGTCAAGCCACGTGAAGGCTGCCCTGTAGGAAGGCTTTCGAGAAGTCGAGGGAGTGCAGCTCGTAGTCGCGCTGTGCTGCAACGTGCAGTAGCACCCGAAGAGTGGTCATCTTCGGGGTGGGGAAAAAGGTCTGAAAGAAGTCGACCCCCTCACGCTGACTGAAGCCTCGTGCAACGTAACGCGCATTGAAGGCAGGCGGAGAACCCGGCGGCCGCTTCACCCCGAAAATCCACATGCCATCGACTATGGTCGCCCCAGGTGGGGGAACCTTGTCGATGCAGGTGCTTGTGGACTTCCAGTAAGCCATCTTTGCGTCCATGGCTATCTGCCACTGAAAGGAGTACAAACATGTGATGAGGTGTCCAGTGCATCCGAGTCTCCATTAGGGCAAAGTAGCGTGGACGCGAGATGAGGTGCAGCGGGCGCTAGGCACTCAAGCTCAAACTGCGTGTCCTCAAGAACGTCACAGCCAAGGGCAAGCTCACCCCCGACGGACGGAGAACAGGAAGAGTGCAAAACAAGACTCGCAGCGTAGTCAAGGCAGCACAAAGCATCGAAGTCAACAAGCTCAGCAACTAAGGCAGACGCAGCAGCAGACTCAAAGGAAGGGTCAGTCACAACCGTGGCAAGGAGACGAGTGACAGTCGGACTGGCAGTACGGACAAGTTCTGACTCAGGGTCAGGAACGTGAGGAAGAGAAGACACAAGAGGAGACGGCAGGACAACACGCTGTGGAACAGAGGAAGGACGAAGTGCCATGATGTGTGTGCCAGGGACAGGTGGAGGTCGATGACGCACAGCACGACGAGAACGGACAGGCGTGACAGGACGTGACGCAAGCTCTCTACGCTCAGTGAAGGACTCCGTCACCACAGTGTGAGGAGCTGGAGCAGGCAGTGGGGAGTCAGGCAGTAGCTGTGGCTGAGACTGGAGTAGTACCAGCATCCGGGAACTCAGTAGCAGCAGGCGGGAGACTGAGAAGGCGACGAAGCACAGACTGCTGCAGCTGAGTAGTCGCACCCCCAGAACCTCCAGCTCAAGTAGCAACAACACCCCCAGAACCAGTACCTCCAGCTCCACCACCGGGATAGCCCCAACGGAAAGCCCACTCGCGAAGCTGCTGCGGCGAAAGCGACTCCTGTCGACTAGCACCACCAACTCCAGTACCTCCAGTAGCACCTCCAGTGTCAGCACCGCCAGTACCCCCAACTCGCGGAACAACGGCAATAGCACCTACAGGGCCAGCAACTCCAGTACCTCCAGCAGCACCTGTGCCTCCAGCACGGCCAACTCTAGGAACACCAGCTCTAGCACTCCAAGCGCCACCACCAGGACTGCCCCAATGGACAGCCCACTCGCGAAGCCGCTCCGGCAAGAGAGTCTTTTCCCGATGTGCACCAGCACCACCAGCACCAGCACCACCAGCACCTCCACCCGCAGAACCTCCAGCAGCAGCACCTCCAGCACCCCTTGCACCTGTAGGAATCGCAGCACCCCCAGAGCCAGCATCCCCAGAGTCCGCACTCCCAGTGTCACCACCTCCAGCAGCACCAGAGTCCACAGCGACAGGCCGCAGAGGCGGTGAAGACAGTCGAGGCGGAAAGCCAGGAGGGACCGCCAAGCGCGCGGAGCGGCGAGGGGCCACGGTGTCGGCAGCAGTTTGGTCACCCCCCTCAGCTGGGCCAGAGGTGTCTGAGGAGACCTCCAAAGGCTCAACCAAGGGGGGTGGGTCTACTTGAGACACACCTGAGGGAGCAAGACCGGGAGGAGGGAGGGGGGCTACCGGGGGAGGGGGGGTCGTCCACCAGGGAGAGAGGCGGGAGGGCTACCAGGGAACTGCAGTGGGGGTGAAGACGGTAGAAGCAGACGAACTCGTCAAAGGTGACGTCGCGGGAGGACAGCATACGACGAGAGCCCGGGTGGTAAAACTTCCAGAGCGGTGCGTCGGTGGGAAAGCCAAGGAACACGCACCAAAGAGTGCGTGGAGAGAGCTTGCCCGCAGGCAAATCGCGGACAAGAGAGAGGGAACCCCAGACCTAAAAAGCCGACGCATCACTAACCTCGCCCGTCCACCGCAAAGTGTGGGAGGTCTCCGGGTGGGAGACACGGGGCCAGAGGTTGAGCTGCTCAGCGGCGTATTGGACCGCAAACGGCCACAGAAAATGGGGAGCAGCCGCATGGATCATGGAGGTGCGAGCAACCTCCATGACTAGACCAATGCGGCGCTCGGCAATCCCATTTTGCTGCGGAGAGGCCGGTAGCGTGTACGACTGGACGATGCCCTCAGCACCACAGAAGTTCTCGAAGAGGTGGGAGAAAAACTCACCACCTCAGTCAGAGTGCAGCCGCAGGACTGGGAGGTCCTCACGGAACCGAGCGCGAATCTGGATACGGACAGCGCGGATCCAGCGGATCAAGACACCGCGGACATCCGTCTTGCTCTGCAAGGGGAAGACCGTGGTGTAGCGCGTGTAGTCGTCGACAACCAGCAGAAAGTAGGGCTCGCCACCCTGTCCAGTGACGCGGGCGGGGCCCCACACGTCCATGTGCAGGGTCTGCAGAGGAGCAGTGGTAGGAGGAAACGAGGAGGAGTGAGGAGCGGCGCGCTGCCGCCCCTCGACGCAGGGAAGGCAGGGCGATACAAACAAACCTCGGAAACGGGGGCAGGGACCTGGGGAGACCTGACACAAAGAGACGGAGGTGCATGCCACGCAGGCGTGTCAAGGAGGGGTGGCCAAGACGGTGGTGCCAGAGGAGAGTCTGGTGAGTGAGGAGATGACACGAACAAGACGAAGCGACCTCAACCGACGCAGCTACCTGACCTGACTCAGCTACCAGTGCAAACTCAGTGGTCAGTGTGTACAGGCCAGACCCAGGCCTCCGAGTGAACGTGGCGAGGTGGTCACCAGTGCGCGAGTCCGTACAGATCACCACATCCAGGCTGGGTGATAGTGACCCACTGGTCCTGGAGGACAGAGGTAGCCACCAAGTTCTTAGCGAACGAGGGGAGGTGGAGACCTGTGAGGAGGCCGGAAGGGGCCGCCGGACAAGGGAGGCCTGTGAGCACGGCAGGGCGCGTGGCGCGGTGGCAGGGCAGGGCGCGTGGCGCAGGCAG